CCCTGAATCATATCCAATCGGTTACGATATAAATCTAATTAATTTATATTAAATTAATTAATTTATATTGTGTAGATTAAATATATATTAAGTATATATATTTAGAATTAATTGTGATTGATTCTGGATTTAAGTTCAAATATCATGATATTATGAGATAAGGATATATTATATCTTATCTCAGATTTTATTTGATGGACTCAGTGGATATTTTTATGCTACCCAAAATATCCCTGACAAAAGTTATAAATAGAGGCTTCTCCCATCAGTTCAAATCACTCCAGTAGTAGAGTTTTCCTACTATATCTCTCTCTCTTATTTTCTTTCTTGCAAAAGAGGTGCTCTGCTGTGCACTTAAAAGCTTAGACTTTTATAGTCTAGCTTAAGCGTGAGTTAACAAGACCCGACCGACCCGACCCGAGATCCGACCCGGTATATTTTCGATCCAATGTCTTTTTTATTTCAACAGTTACTTATAAGAAATAGGTGTTGTATTTCCTAAAATATCTTTGCTAATCAAGTGTATTGGCTATAATTATTATGATTAAAAAAACTACATTGGAAAAGATGTATAAATTTAAAAGACAAAGTGGATTGGAGTCTTATATTTAGAATCAAAATAAAAATTAAACAAAATCGTGTGTTAAGGACCAGAAGTAGCATATATTTATTTATTTGTGCAAAATAAAATAAAAAATAAGCTAGAAAATTTGAAATAAGATTTCTAAAATTTGAGAAAAAGCGCAACTAATAAGATTTCCAAAAATGCATCATGCAATGATGACAAGAGGCGGCACTTGATTCAGGGAAGATTTGTGTTTTATGGGATGAGTGAGTAATCCAATGTGGTTGGCTTCCAATGAGGATTAGAGGAGTGTCTTGAAAGGACTTAAGAATCCAATCATTTTGTCCCAACCCTTGTAACTTTTGTGTCCATTTTTATCCAATCTCCTCGCGACAGTTCAACAAACATCCTTTTGTTGCCTCTTCCAAAGACTATAATCCCCATCTCAAAATTATACTAGGAGTGGTTCATCGCAATTTGATTAGTTTGTGATTATTAACAAATTACCATGGATTAGTAAAATTTCATATGCTACTTAAAATTGTTTGCTCGTGATTAATTTGAAATTTCAAGACATCATTTATTTATTTTTAGCTCAATATTTAAAACACTAATATAAGGACTAGTTTGAGAGTTAGAGTTGGTTCTAAATATAATACCTCAAACTGTTTTGTTCTTTAAATTTGTAACTTTTAAGAAAACTAACACACACTTGTTGCATATAACTAACTAAATTAATTTTCTTAATATTTATATTAGTTGTTTAGTTTTTTTAGTTAAAAAATTAATTATTTAATTCTTATATTTTTTTATTAAAAATTTAAGAAAGTAACAAAACAAAAATATTGTTCGAGGGCTGAGTTTGTTGATGTGAAGGAAAGGATTTAAAGAGTTACCCCAAATAATTTCACTGCATCTGCTTGTCTTTCTTTTTGGCACATGGAGATTGAAAAAGCACAGAACTGGTTAGATATAATTAATTTGTCATTTAAATAAATTAAATTTGAAAAGGCACCAATTGGCAGCCAAAGGTTGAAATGATCACAACTCAATCACCCTCTCTACAATAGGACAAAGTTTGATGTAAATTTCAGCTTTATCTTCAAAATATCTCAATACCAGAATGGGATATCAAATATTTGTATTGTTAAAATTTGTATATTCAGGTTATTTTGGGTTTTTTTCCCTATTAAAATACTATATAACAAGAATATGGAATTGTTCATGAAAAATCATAAATGCATCATAATATATAGAAGATCGATAATTCATCAAAATAAAAATAAATACATATTTTTTTTTAAAAATCTCAATTAAGGAAATAGGTTGGGATTGGACCATACGTGTTCCCCAAGCGGACGACGGCCCCACTACAAATCGAAAAACGCCAAGACATATAGAAGAAAAGCCTTCTTTTTTTTTTTTTTCCAATTTTTGTATGACAGTTCTAGATTTTAATTGCATTATTTGGGGGTTATAAAATAGTACAAATAGTTGTTTAAAATCACTTTTAAATTTTGCATGCATATTTGGCTGGTCTTGCTAGCTTGCGACTTTTATCTTTACCCTTAGCTCTAAATGGATTTTATTTTTTATTTTTGAAATTTTTTAAAAAAGCTTTCTATTGAAAACTTTATTGGTGAGAAGGACCTAAACTTTTTTTTTTGATAAAAAAAATTTATTCAATATAAATAAAATGATTACATAAAAAGGCAGTCAGTTGTCTTCGGTCAATTGGAGCAAAACCCAGATGAATTAAAAGAGAAAAAGAGAAGGTCCTAAATTAGACTAATGATACTTTATATGTACAAAATTTATAGAGTATTAATATTTCTGTATATAAATATTTATCAGGTATTTCTCACTGAGAAAATTTGCAATAGAAAACCTTTTTTCAGTTTTTCCTATTCTTTTTTTTTTCCCTAATTTAAATCCTGGATACATATGTTTTTCTTTTTTCATTTTTTAACATACTATATTTTTTCGAAAATTTATATTTGGCACATATAGACATGACCGAAGTTAAAGTTAAGAACACTATACATACACATATTTATTTTCGTAACAAATTGTATAATCAGATATAAAATATAAAATAAATATATGAGAATAGTTTTATTTCAATATGTTTTTTAGTTGTGAGTCCAAACAAACCCATAATGAAGAGTCTGAAAACTCATGCATTGGAGCATCTTGCGGCGTTTGTCAATGGTCTTATAGAGAAGATTCCCCGGATATGCTCGGCAAAGCTAAGCGGTGCTCACGTGATGAAAATGAACTATTGAAATTGAAGGCTCCATAATTTGTTTCAACATTAACATATAAAATTCAGCTCCAAAAAACAAATATTAACACATAAAACATTAAATTTATAACGAGTCGTACTATTCACATGGTTATGAAGCAAATACCTTATTTCTCTCTTGAAATTCTTTATGTTTCACATAGACATGCGTATACCAAGCGGTGTTAAAACTAAATAAATAATTTTTAATGGCCATGTTTTAATGATTTTTTAAAGAAATATATTAATCCTCCGATTCTTAATATACGGCCTAATTACTGAGTTGATATTGTTCCTAAATGTAAGATTTATTTTTCATATTTATCAATTTTTTAAAATTATCCTTATCTTTTTAACCATAATCAAGTAGGAGAGGGAGGATGGATATTAAGGAAAATGATTATGATATTTTAGAAAAAATATGTCATATTTTTTATAATTAATTAATTTATTTAATTTTTTAATTTAATCAAATTAGTTAATATGTCTTATATTAAGGACTGAAGGAGTATAAATTTAAACTATTTTGTAAACAATTATAAAGAAAAGAAAAAAGAAAAAGAAAACTGGAGAGAAACAGGAACATGGATTTCACTTTATATATATATATATATATATATATATATTCCTCAATAATGTGGACTAAGCTTGACCCCTAGGCCTGGAGAAGAAAGGACTTAGTTTTGTACTGATGGCAAAATATTTTATAATTTTTATAAAATAGAAAACCCATAAAGCCTTATCACCCGAGAATGTATTACTAGTATTTAGTACCTCAGTCCTACTTTAAAGGCTTGACTTTGGAATGCATGCATCCAACTTGAGTGGCAATCACAAATCACACCAGCATCTTTGCTTTTATCCGTCCCATCCCATATATAATATTCATCTTTTTAAGTCATTAATACTGCTATATTTCATTCTTCATTTACACTACAATATATGGAAAAACATGTGTAATTCAAATATAAATTGTTCAAAAATACCCAATTGTAAATTTTAGGGGAAATTGCAAAAAAAGACCTTGGAATTGTAAAAACGCACAACTTCATTGGGTTTTGACAAGAATAATATGCCCTGAAGTTGTCAAAACCCAAAGTGAAGTTGTCAACCTATCTGCGTTTTTGCAATTCCAAGGTCTTTTTTTACAATTCCCTAAATTTATTACTTAAAAGTATTTAAAATTTATATAAGGACTCAGACACAACTTACGCTCGGCATGTGCAATTTTTCTCGTGCTATATATAACTTATTTTAATTCTATACTCGTCTAGTCCTGTTTATAAGACAAAGAGAAAGTTTTTTTGGTCATATTTGTAAGTTACTTCATTAAATTTTTACCATGACTGTACTATATTGTCTTTCATTTATTATAGTGTAGATAGTTATTTTGTTTGAAAGGTGTATATATTAAATATAGATAAAGTTAGAAAGTTGTTATATTTTAATAAAGAGTTAATGCAGTTTAAGATTTTTCTTAGTCTGTGTAAAACATGTTAGAAGTGTCTTATAAATAAAATTAGAAGAGTACAATACAAAAGATATTTATATATAGTTAAAGATATATTGTATAAAGTTGATGTAGAGTTGCACTAACTTTAAACAATAAATTTTGCGATACAAGATTTTTCAACTAATTCTCTTCTAAATTTGATTGGTTTGGTATTCTCATCTGAGGGACCAATAATACGGTTCAAGCAGAAAGCAGCCAAGGGCTTTTTGGCCGTACTAGTAGGTAATAATGTGCAATAGTCCTGTCTCCAGTTTTTAATATTAAAATTAATTTAATTTTTAATTTAATACTAAATATAAAATCTTAATTTATTTTGTTTTTTATATTTATTTGTTTTCTTAAAATATTTTTTATAATAGTTACACATATTAAAAATTTCATTAAATAATAATTCTATCTAATATATGATTAGTAAGGATATTTTTAAAAAAAATAATATATATTTATTACAAATAATTAACTTAACAAACTTCTTTAATTTATTCAAATTAATTAACTAATTTTTATAATAAAGACAGGATGTAATAATATGTGTTAAAACGACGTCGGATTGTCGGTGATTTTAATATATCTAGTCTGCGAAGGTACGCTAACTAAGCCTCTTGGTTAAAAGAAAAAAGATATATGCCAAAAAAAGAACAAAATAAAAAAGCAGGACTTAGCCTCTCACTCTCTCTCCCTTCCAGCACCATTGCTTTGCTTCTTGCGGCTGCACTTCTCTCTGCAGCCTAATATACCAAAGCATATCCCGTTCCTCTTCTCTCTCGAAGGAAGACTCTTCCATATCTGACACGCTGGTTCAAGAAATCGAGATGAACAACGGCGGGGAATCCTACGGTTTGATTGAGACGCAGTACATAAGGAGGCATCACAGGCACGAGCCGAGGGACAACCAGTGCACTTCAGCTCTAGTTAAGCACATAAGGGCTCCCGTTCACCTTGTAAGTCGCTTGCATATAGTTCTTCTGGTCAAGATCATGGGATTTCCTTGTAATTCTGAAATCTGGAACGGGTTCCTTCTTGGTGTTGTTGTGTGGGGGTGATTTTCTGAGATTGGAACCGTTTTTCCCATGGTCTGACTTTTGTTTTTGTTTGGAGATCGAGCGATTTCCTTTCCTCTCATTTGGGGTGGTTTCTTTTCATCTCTAATGCTATTTGACCTTTTAAATGGATTTGTTTTGGCGTTTACATTTTATGTTTTTGTTTATTTATCTCTTTCTTTGCTGGCTTGAGGACTATTCTTGATTTTGGGTTTTAGTTTTATTCTTCTATTGTCTGAGTGTATGATTGTTGTCTTTTTGAGCTCGCGAGGTTTCGAGCGATATAGGCAGCCTTGATTCATATTATGAAGTAATTTGTAGTTATGAAATACTCTGTGACAAAGTGTAATCCTTTTGTTCGAATAATTTACTCGTGCTCCCATGTTAATCATCGACTTTCAGAAGCATAAAATAGCTACACACACGCACACGCACACACTTATGTGGAAGTTATATATATATTTTTTATGCTATGCTTTATAGCTTATCTTGTTTATTTTTCCTTTTTCGGCTATGTCTTTTTCTTGTATAGAAGCTTCAGGCCGCGAAGGTCAGTAAAAAGTGAAATTTAAACAGCCACTCCACTTCACTTGGATATGGATGAAAATGCCTAGGCAATAATGAATCTGGCATTAGGAGAATTATTCACCTTGCTATAACAACGCTCTTAACTGTCAATTCTTAGTGGACTTCTTTTGAAAGCACCATGCATTGTGAAAGATCAACATTTTAGTTTCTCAGCTCTTGATTAATCTTCATCATCTTTTATGTTCTGTCCGACCGTCAGTGGAGGTTCAGGGTCATGGCTTGAATATCCTTGTGTGTTTGGAGATAGTTTTATTATATGAAGAATTTGTTGCAGAAGATAAAATTTTGATGGAATGACCTGGCTCAACTATTTTCGTCTTGTGTTAGGTTTGGTCGCTGGTTAGAAGATTTGATCAACCGCAGAAGTATAAACCATTTGTTAGCAGATGTATTATGCAAGGGGACCTTGATATTGGGAGTGTAAGAGAAGTAAATGTTAAATCTGGCCTTCCTGCCACAACCAGCACGGAGATGCTCGAGCAACTTGATGATGAGGAACACATTCTTGGCATTAGGATCGTTGGTGGTGACCATAGGCTGAGGGTATGTCAATATGTATGTCATCTAGATAATTATGGATCTGAGATCAAATAGTGATGAAAATTATCCAGTTTTGTTCTTTAATTGAACCTGTTGTCAAAATTGGGGAAACAAGTCTTCCCTCGTTGTTAATATGGAGGTAAAAGCTCACTTGGGTCTTGGAGATTTACTAAGGGAAAAACAGTATAGTGCTTAAATTGTAAGCATCACCAAAAGCCATTTTCATTACTTAATTTCTAGAAGCAGAAAATTCTCTGTTCTGGAAGTTTGAATTCTAGAATTTAGTGTTTGTTTTTAGAAATTTGGCCACCACTCATCTTATGTTGTTCAATTAGTCTAGTGATCTTACTTCTCTTTGTTGTCTTTGACCTACCTCTCCTATCATATAGATGGGGAATAGCTTGAAAACAATCTTGTGGAGTAGAGAGATTTTCATTCCTCATTGATGGTGAATGGTTTATCAAAACAGTTGGTTAAGTTGTAAGCTGATGAATGCTAACCGAATTGTGTTATATGGAATCTGCAGAACTACTCCTCTATAATCACAGTACATCCGGAGGTCATTGACGGGATGGCTGGAACGATGGTGATCGAATCATTTCTGGTGGATGTGCCTGATGGGAACACCAGGGATGAAACTTGCTACTTTGTGGAGGCCCTGATCAGGTGCAATTTAAGCTCCTTGGCTGATGTGTCTGAGAGCATGGCAGTTCAGCTCGGATCAACCACTAATTATGTTTAGGTGAGAAGGATGCTGGGATTTAGACAATCACACGTTTCATCCCATTCTTATCTCAAGGTCTGATGTGGGGACTGGTTGGAGCGTTTTTCCTTCCATGTTCTTTGGAAGTCTTGAATGGGTTTCTTGTGCATTATTCTTCCATATCATGGGTACCACTTTACTCTCCCATCTCTTCCTCCTTCTTCCATTACTGTGTATTCCCCGTTAGAACAGCCGAGTTTCCCTTCTTCAGTCATCAAAAGATATTCAGCTTCATGAGCACTCAATGATGGAAGTGCGGAAGTTCTTTTGTTCCCCCTCCCCCTTTGACCTCCCTACCTATTTTTCCTGGTATTTTGTGCTCTGTATTTTGCTACTAATGCTATCTTTATGTATGTATGCGTGTGTATATACGTGTGTGTGTATATAATGGAGGAGCCTTTTTATATTATATAGCAAGTTTTCGGCACATTCAAGGAGTTATTGTGCTTGCTCTTCTGATGGGAAGCTTTCTTTTGGTTCATGTCATGCATCCGACATGGATCCTCAATGGATATTTACATTAGTCTGTCTTTAAGGAGTTATCGATAAGGGGAAAATGCGAATGATTTTCTTGTTACTTAAGACTCTCTTTAGTCTTTACAGATTCTAACTAAAAGTGTAATATCTAGTCCGTTGCCATAGAAGTTTTAAAAAAGTAGTGTCCAGTCGCACATTTTCAATATTTTCCCCCATTTTAACACATAGTCAATCTTCACAGAAGGTAGGCAGAAAGAGCTTTGATGTGCATATATAGGTAGTTTTTTTTTTTGGTGAGAACTATTTATTTTAAACATTTTTTTAGATGAAAAAATTTAGGTGAGTTGGGTAAACTTTAATTTTTTTATTTGGTCAAAAGGGTGAACTTTATTTTAAACATTTAATTAAGAAATATAAGATTTCCGGACATGTTGCCTACCTATTGAACATTAGGCGATGTTATGCCTGGTCTCCCCAGTCAGCTTGTACACACAAACATTCCATACATCCTCATTTAAATTGCATATTGCGCAGGCATTTATTTTAAAAAGAAAATTATTGGCCGATGCATGCATGCTGCCCTCCTCTCTCCCAAGGAATTAAAATGGAAATTGACAACCATTAGCTTAGCAGAAGGAGCAAATCCCTTCCGACAATCAATGTTTGAATCCCCATTGAAAAAAAGTGTTTACTGATTTAGGGAATATTATTTTCAATAAAAGAATACATGTGCTTAGTAAAAAAAAAAAAAAAAAGAAAGAAAGTGACAAGCTTGTCGTATTTGACTTGAGTCAAATTGACTGAAGTTTCAGGTCATGCAAGGATTGACAACCTCGCTTTAAGTCACAGCCAATTGCAAAGGAATGCTTGTTAGGGTTCACAAACACAAAGTGAGAATTCTTTGGTTTCAAGTTCAAGCTCACTTTATTCCTGCAAGATAAAGCCAACCCTTCTTTTTTTGCTTCTGTCCCATAAAAATGGATAGATGGTTATGGGTTTTATATTTTAAATTGATTCCTCATTTCTTCGTTTCTAGACGAGAGTGTGTGTTTTCTGGCAACATTAGCCATCAATTGCAAAATGTTCAGCCGAAAATGGAGGGGAAAACTCAAATAGAGAGGAAAGTGGGGAAAGAATTTGGATATCAATTTAAGCCCAACACCCGAAGCCTCAAATCTGATCTGGCAATATTCTACAATAATCTGGGCTTCGTGTAATATGCTTTTGCATAGGGCCGCCATGTAAAAGCCCGTTTATACATTTGGGCTTAATTTTTCGAAGCCCAATCCTATCTTCATGGGCTGTCGAGCCAGTTGCCCAGTTCTTATATTTGTAAGGCCTCATACAGCTGGGTTAAAAAAAATCAAACTTGATTTTTAAAGCATTTATGCATACTTGTAACCAAAAAAAAAAAAAAAAAATTTATACGTGCTCAAATTTGAGACATTTCTTGGTATTTGACTTTTTTTAATATAGTAAAACAAGCAAGTTTTGGTTTGAACACATTTAGTGACTCACAACATATTGAATATGATTATTTCTAATAAGAAGATATACATGCGTAGAAAAAGGATCAGCGTGAGGGTGCTTGTTCCTACATCTATTTATACATATGCATCACACCCTCTTTATTATACATTTATCTATTATGATTGTTGTACCATCAACAACATCAAAATGGTGATTTACCTTCGCATATGCCTTTTTTTTAATATATACTATCTTCAGTCCTAATTATAAGAGCTAGTTGACAAATTTAAAGAAATTAAAGAAAGAATTTAAATTAGTTATTTGTCATAAATAGGTGTTGTTTTTTTCTAAAATATCCTTGCTAATCAAGTGTATTAGCTAGAACTACAATTGTTAAAAAGACTATCTTAAAAAAAATGTGTAAATATTAGAGATAAAGTGGATTGAGGTCTTATATTTAGGACCAAAATAAAAATTAAACGAGATCCTATAGTAAGGACAGGAGTTAGTATAACTCTATTCATATATACGCGCACGCAAACTACAACATGATATTTGAAGCCTTCCTTCGAGAAAATATTTTTACTCATATATATTTCTTAATGCTTAATTTACGCTATTTTATATGTATTTGGTTAATTTTAGTCAAAATCAAATTTTAACTAAAGCAATACGAGAGTAGTTTTTTCTGGAAAAAAAACTATATCGATAACTAATAAATCAGCACACTATTTCTCTAATTCAATTCTCTGATTTCACCAAATACAATGAGACCAAGAAAATTTTTTTTGAAAAAAAAAATGTTACCCCAAATGAATATATGCAGGCAACTATATAATTCTGAAAGATGAGAATGCGATATGTTACCTAGAAACAGTTTTTCGAGTGATTATTTTCACCTGAATATGCATATTTTATTTTTTCCAGTGATGGCCCATATATTTTGAACAGGAATCCAAAAGAATAATATAAACATAACACAGAATTTTTTAACTTCAATTTTCTTTGCTTTGCAATGATTAAATTGTATGCAATGTTTGAAATTTATACCAGTTTTAAATGTACGACTCATTAATTAATACAAATTCAGGTGATTAAAAAGAATTGATTTTTATCCAACGAAACAAAGTGTATCAAAATTCACTTTTTTTTTGTTAAATACTCTCTCTTATTTGAAAATTATGAATCAAGTTTTCAGAGAGCTTTGGACTAAGTGAAACATTATTTTTGATTCACTCAGTTCATGTTAACAAGAATCAATATAATCTATGGAGAAAATAGTTAATAAAAGTTTACACATAGATCATTGTGCTAGATGCACCGAAGAAGTACTATGTTTAAAGCTTTGTTGTACGTTTCTGGAGTCTTGATTCCATGCGGTGGTGGTGACTCGCGATTTCTGAAGAATTTCACCCCAAAACAAAAACATTTTCTGGCGTTTCTCAACCACACAATCCAACAGGAGGCAGCTTCAATCGTCAGCTGTGTCTCATCCTCACACTCCACGTGTCGTGCAGACAGTGGTGGAGTTCTTATATCCCTTACAGCTCAGCACCTCCCTCCACTCAAAGGACACCCACTGAATTGCACTTTAGCCACCTCCTCCCTCACCTCCTCACAATCGTCTTCCACATTGCTCGACAGTCACACCCACAAAGAAACAAAATTTACCTTCGATCCTATAACCCTCATGGTTGTTCATGTTCGGAGACTTCAAGACGCTTATCCTTTGAGTTTCTGAGAGCCTCAAGAGACTGTGTGTGATATAGAAGAATTATGCTATGGAGGCCCTCAATGCTGCTACCTTGACCCCTTTGTCAGTGCTCTGCGATAGAAGAAAACAACCCAGAAGGTTCTCATCACTTCCCAGGATTTCCGCTAGCAAAGTGTTAGATTCTGCCAGTTTTCCATCCAAGAAACCATCTCCGAATGAGTATTTACCTGCTGGTGTACGTGGGGGCCTTCTTCTTGCAGCTTCAGTCATCAATGGAGGAATTGCTAAAGCTCTAACATATGAGGAGGCATTAGAGCAATCTGCGGGAAGTCCCAGTTCTGGGGACTTTGATGTAAATGGGATTATAGATAGTGTCATAAGTTTTGGATCAGAGAACGCTTTGATTATAGCTGGAGGCTTAGCTATTTTGGGGGTGCCTCTGGTTTTGTCTCAGGTTCTGAACAAGCCTAAGCCATGGGGTGTTGAGTCAGCTAAAAATGCATATGCAAAGCTTGGTGCTGACGGGGATGCTCAGTTGCTTGATATAAGAGCACCAACAGAGTTTAGGCAAGTGGGTACTCCAGATGTTGGGGGTTTGAAGAAGAAGGCCGTGTCAATCACTTATAGGGCTGATGATAAACCTGGATTTCTGAAGAAGCTGGCTCTGAAGTTTAAGGAGCCGGAAAATACCACATTGTTCATTCTGGACAAGTAAGAAGAGTTTACACTCTTACAACAATGTCTGTTTGTAGTTTCTTACGTGCTTTTGTCAATTGAGGCATTGAGCTGACATAGGAATTAATGTCATTCTCTCTCTCTCTCTCTCTCTTAAATAACCAGTGTCATTCGATTCTAACACATTCACTTTTTTCCTATAGTCGGTTCTTTTTTCTGGTCACTGATGTTGGAAGCTAGTGTTTTGTGACTCAAAAAAGCTCTCAGTGACCATCTATTATTTGTTCACTTATGTTTTGGAATGATTTCGTAGCTAGGTGATCACAGTTTTCCCCCAAAGAAAAAAGAACCTTTCTTTTCAATGGCTTTGCTTTAACTAATCACATGCAACAAATAACATCTATGCCACCTGCCTATTGTAAAAAGAAAAAGATGTAGCAGCCATGGAGTATTTGCTGAATGTCCATTTTGTTATTGAGTTTGGAAGTGAGGATTTCAGCACATTCAAAAACACAACACCATGCTTTCCACTTAGAAAGGAACGTAGGGTAGAACTCCATTTGCTCGGTTTGATGAAATATGTTAAGTTTAAATCTCATGAAGTACAAAACATGTGCGCCTGGAGCTGATAGAATGTGCTTGTTATGGAAGCCAGATTTGATGGGAACTCCGAATTGGTTGCAGAGTTGGTCACAGTCAATGGATTCAAAGCTGCTTATGCAATTAAGGATGGTGCAGAAGGACCTCGAGGATGGATGGTATTTTTTGTGCCTTCCTATTTTTATTGGCTTAATGTTTATCACAATTTTATCTAACTTGCTTTCTCAGCTTGTACATTCTCTGACATGGATTGAAATTCCGCAGAATAGTGGTCTTCCATGGACTGCACCAAGGAAAGCTTTTAGTTTGGATCTTGGCAACTTGACTGAGTCTATCACTGGTGCAATAGGAGTATGTATCTTACATTTCTTTGATTTTATAATTTTAAAACTGTTTATGCTGAAGCACCCACAAAGTATTTTTAACTTTCAAATTAATTACCATTAAACATTTTCTTAATTGGGTGAAATCAGACTTTGGTTTTAAAAGTGATTTTACGACATACAAAGTAAGTATATAAAAAGAGTTTTGTCTCAATTTGCGTGAAAGCATTTTTAAAAAAATGCTTTTATGGTCAACCAAACACCCTCTAAGACTATGGTTTAACATATTTTTCTAACAAATCCATTTTTTCCCTCTTAAATTGTTTCTGTCATCTGACCAATTTCATGATCTCAATCTTTAGCATTTCTTTGGATTTCTGATGAAGATCTATCATTTCAGGATACCTCTGATGGCTTGGCTCTCACTCTTGGGGTTGCTGCAGCTACTGGTTTGGGGCTGTTCGCTTTTACTGAGGTTAATATGACGAGTAGTTTCTGATTTGGCACAACTCGCTGATGATAAATTACTTGTTGATGGTGTTACTCTTTTTTGTAGATAGAAACAATTCTCCAACTTGTAGGTTCTGCTGCAGTTGTTCAGTTTGCAAGCAAGAAGCTTCTATTTGCTGAGGTTAGTACGATTTCTGCTCCTGAAGTGGGGCAGAACCTGAAATGTGTATTCATAAAGCAATGCATTACAAAGGATATTGATACTAAAACTGTAGTCTCTTCCCTCAGTTGGTTTTTTTTTTTTTTTGGGGGGGGGGGGAGGGGGAAGGAATGTCCAAGAGTCATAGTCCTGCAATTTTACTTGTTGCATAATGATCCGCTAAGATTGTGGAAGTAGAATTTCATAGCAGTATGATTTGAAATTGTGATCATGAGAAAGGGAGGGATGTTTGTATGCTTTGATGGTGTAATATATGTTCAATGTTATGTTTTCAGTTTTGACTGGCATGCATACCTGGTATTCCCATTGATGATATTATTTTCTCTGGACTCTTATGGTCAATATTTCCCCCTAACTCAATACAGAAAACCTTTTCTGTGGTGTGCGTGTTTTGGTCCATCAACACATCCTTGATTCCCATAAATGGTGATCAAGGAGATGGAATTTACCATTTAGTCAAGCTCTAAACATCATGAATTTGCCTGATGGCCTTCATTTTTTCCATTGCAGGATCGAAAGCAAACCCTGCAACAGGTTGATGAGTTCTTGAATACAAAGGTTGCCCCAAAGGAGCTCGTTGATGAAATAACGGTACTTGATATTTTTCTTGATATCTTTTATTGATATTGTGTCATGCATGACACACGATATGTAGATAAGAAAAATTATGGATATGAGATGTTTGTGTATGAGCATTCAACCAATTAACACATGGCAAATGAGCAATATGAAAATTTGAGTTTTAAACAAGCATTTCAAGCGTAATATATAGATTTTCATAGCAAGGTCTTCATGAAAGTATAAAAGAAATTGTAGCTATGATTTTCAGTTTAACTTCAATATCAATCTTCCTCTTTGTTCATATCATTGAGATTTTATATAAGTTCTTGAGCTGCTTTGGAGCATTTTGGACTAAAAAATTCAAATATATAGATGTTAAAATACATTACATGCATCACAAAATATGGTTTGGCTATCATATTTAATAAGGTGAACTGATAACAACGATGTGGCAGATCTTGGATTGTATTACTGTATATATCTCTCTACCAATTGCCTAAAGTGGAACTTCTGTTTTTCCCCTTCATGTCCGTTTATTCTTCTTGAATGGGTGGCAACATTAGCAAATTGGAAAGGCTCTTCTTCCAACCTCCGCCAATGGTAAGGCTCTTCCCGCGCCAACAGAGACAATGCCAGAACCCGCACCTCCTGCTAGCACTGTGCAGAAAGCAGAAGCCTCGCCTGATGCGGTCTCTGAGTCCAAAGTAGATGCAGCAGCAGAGCCTGTTCCTGAAGTAAATTCAGTACCACAACCTGAAGTTAAGGCAGAATCAGTTCCTGGGATCCAAAGACCACTTTCACCATACCCATATGTAACTTCTCTGCTTCCTTACTTCATCAGCTTTTCACTTTATGGGCTGAACGATATGCTTAGGGTGGCAAATTGCTAATTTTCTCGGTTCATATCTTTTCAGTGTATAATTTGTTCCAAGTCTGATTTTGAGCGCTGAAACTTTTAAGTTAGTTGTTGGACTATATGACGAACAATTAGCTGAGAATGTGGAGTTCAATATTTAAGGAGACAAAAATCAGCTGAATTTGATGGCTATCCCACCAAAGTATTTTGAGTACATTATGTAACCTCTCTTTAGATTTTTTGGAAGTTCATAGCTTTTATTTTCAAAACTAATGCAAACCTCCTTTTGAGTTTTACTAAAATTACACAGTCTCTTCTTTTGTGAAAATTTACACAGACCTCCCCTCAAAAAAGAATTAACTACCCAGACTTCCCATCAATGTCGTTGGAATTTGATAGATATTTTTGCCATTTTAAAAATATAGCTAATTTTTCCACTGAAAATAGAAAAGTTTTGAAATTTTAGTAAAATGGGGAGGATTGTGTAATTTGATTCATTTTAAGGGAAATTTTTATAGGTGTTGGATATGGAGGGAAAGTTTATATGATGGTAAGAAGCTCAAGGGATCTGTGTGTCATTTTAGCAAAACATAATAGAGGCCTGTGGAGGTGTAGAGGGGGAAAAAACAAGATCTATAAAGTTAAGACAAAATTCAGGAGATGTTTGGGTAATTTCCTCCATATTTATTTGGGATTAATTTCTTACATTTTTTAATGGGGTTATAATTCTTGAACTTTGAATAGCTACCTATTCGTTTACTGTTGTCGGAATATTTGATGAATTATATGGAGTTTTCGAAAATTGTTATCCTAGTTTCTAGTGCATGCACAAGTATCAAGATATACTCACTCACCATATTTCACATGCATCTTTGTTTTCTCTTGGATTGCATGCAGTATCCGGATTTCAAGCCTCCAACATCTCCCAGTCCTTCTCAGCCCTAGAGTTTCACTTGCTCTTATCATCAGCAGAATATTCTACACAAAACAACTCTTTCCTCAACATTTCAAGCACAAGCGATGAGCCTGTTGCACCAAAACATCTTGGGCATGCTGCAAAACATCATAGGTTGAAGACATAAATATGTGTCTCAAGTTGTAAAATTAACAGTGTGTTTATGCTACTCGGTACGCATTTCGTAATTGAATAATGTCTTGTAGAGGTGACTGATGGATCAGTATTAGTTATGTTGGGACTTAGTATGATTCTGCATCTTCCATTTTTGAGTAAGCAAATGCGAATTTATACATGCAGGCATGCTTCTGTTCTGGTTTGAGTTCATTTGCTTTCCGTATTTTATTGAGGGGAAAGCCTAATTAAGCTAGACATTCTTTAAAAGATCAAAATATCTGTTTGTTTTCCATGTTGGTTGTTTACTTTGAGACTGGATGAAATTTTTCAGAGTGATAAAATATGGGAACTTATGTACTTGTACGAGGCATTTACATTTTTACTTGATTTCATGTTTTTGACTCACTTTGGTCATGATTTGGGAATCAAATGCTGAGAAATGGTTTAGAGAGGTTAGAATGGGATGCAGGATATTGAAAAGTTAAGTAGATTCACAGGGTTGATCTTGATCGTTCCACTATCTCAATCATTCCTTCATTATCAGCTAACACAGTATGAATAAAAGGAGACTAAGTTTTACAATCCAAAGGAGGGAGGAGGAAGAAAATCAAGATAGTGATGGGAAGAAGGAAAAAAGAATGAAAGCAGAAAAGCCAAAAAAGAAAGAATAATTTATTGATGAGTTTCATTTCAGGTTTTGACCTTTCAGTATTGGAGCTACCAAACTTTTATCCGAAAGCCTATTGTTTGCTGTCTTTCAAGTTCAAAACACTATCCCTGGCCTTTTTCATATTATAATAATCTCCATTACATGCTTCCACCCTTAACACTATCCCTGGCCTTTTTCATATTATAATAATCTCCATTACATTCTTCCACCCTTAACAGTAATATTGTTATGAATAATATTCTTATTTTAATATTTCCAACATTCCCTCTGCATATTTAAATATATGCATGCGCTGTTTGTGTTCCAAGTGAATATGTTACAGTCACAAAAAGGGCATATGATACTGTATTCTCTATTATTAATTGATTGATGATACGATGACTTCAATACATGCAACTTTCCTTTATCTTAATTAATTGCCTTAATCTTTGTTTCATTCGAACAATTTATACTTTAAAATATTTTGTCAATTATACTAAGATAAAACTTACTAAAATATCAATAAATGAGGTCATGGGCAGCGTAAAATATTTTTTAAAATAATGAATCCAAACATAATAAATAATGTTTACCCATAACATACATCAAATGGAATGATAAAAATATAACTTTATCAAGTCTTTACCAATTAACATAATAATTATTCCCCTTGAAAAACATTTCACGTGCAAGTTTTGGAAATAGGAAAAAAAAAAACTTTATGTACTCTGATTTGACTTAATCTCTTGCTCTTGCTCATATTTGTAAGGGGAAAATTAATATAAACTTGATATTTTAAAAATGATCCAAATATTAAAAAGGATGTGTCGAACATTGGAGCTTGCGGTGAAGTGGAAGGAGGACAACTAGAAGTCAAAGGAAGTGAGACTATTTTGTATGTTTGGTAGGACCTTCCGTTGTCTATCTTGCTTGCTTTGTTCCAGACGTCCCTCCAATGCCTCTTGACGACAAAAGGAAAGTTAAACACTCAGCTCTCTCTTACTTTATCAAACTTACTTTTCCCATTTCGGCATGTATTTAATACCTCTCGGCTCGTCGTTCCTTCTCATTCCCACCCCTTCTTCTTCTTTCTTCTTTCTTCTCCTCTCTATTGACTTTGCCATTGCTAGAAACTTTTTTTTCTCTGGAAAAAAAAAAAAAGAAAACATGGCCAAAGGCCACAAAAAGACTAGTAGCTCTTATTCTGAAGGTGAATCTTCCTCTCTTCTTTCCTTTCGCTTCCATTTTGGTACCAAATCTAATTTTTGGTTCTTCCCTTTTTTGGTTCAAGTCTTCTTTGCATTTGTCTTACATGTAATCGGTTAGCAGTGTATGAGACCTTTTGCATGCAAACCTGGTCTGCTGTATTATTATGGTTTTGTCCTTTTGCTTCTATTTTGATAGCAAGTTCAATTCTGGGTTTTTTCCTTCCTTGGTTAAAGTTTTGCTTTCATTTTTCTCATGCCTGTTTGGTTAAATTTCTGTGAGTGATTTTGCATGCAAACCTGCCCTTCTCTTTGCTTCTGGTTTATCCCTCTTTAGCTTCCATTTCAGTACCACACTCAATTCGGGATTCTTTACCCCTTCTTTGGTTCAAATTTTGGTTTCACTTCTGTTACACCTGTTTGATAAAGTTCTATCAGAGATTTACATGAATGCCTCCTCTGCTATGTTCCTCTGGTTGTATCTTCTCATTATTTTTTCTTGGGTTTTTCTTTTCTTTTCAGCAATTTTGTACCAAATCCAATCCTGACTTCTTCCTTGTTTCTCACTGCTCTCTCCATATTGATAATTGTTTGAATGAAGTTTTATGAGAGGCTTTGTATGCAAGCTATGGGGTCTGATATATGTCTTCTTCTTCTACTTTTATCTTGCTTTTTGTGTGTTCTCTCCATGTACTGGGTACAATCCCTTTTACCTAAATCTCATGTTCAAACATTTTTTATTGAAGTTTCTGAGAACAAAACTAAAACTTCTACATGCCAAAATTTCCATCTTCCCTTAAGGAAGAAAAATTGACCTTTGTTTTTGAGGTTCTTGTTGGCAGAGGTGAGCAGCATTGAATGGGAGTTCATTAACATGACAGAGCAAGAAGAAGATCTAATTCACAGAATGCACAGACTTGTTGGAGACAGGTAGTTAAATCTTCCTTCAAAATTAATTAAAATAAAAAATCATGTTAATACCCTTTTGCGGTTAATAATCAACAATACAACACCCATGGGCAGCAAGTGTTGTGCTTTTGAGGTAAAGTTCTTCACCCCTCAAAATTTTTACTCTCCCTTGTATTTGCTGTGGAGAGCGGTTTTCTCATTTCTGTTCCTCCGTCCTTTTCAACGTTTGTCATCCCTATGAAGATCACAACTTTGTGAAACTTTTGAGCAACAAAACCTGATGAAAAAGAAGTAGCTGCATCTGGGAATTCAGAAGGGGAAAAGAAAGAATTTGTGAAACTTTTGGGCAACAAAATCCGATGAACCCGATACTTTTTGCAATGTTTATTATAATATAAACATATATACATGCAACAATGTTGGTGTGAACATGTGTGGATTTTAATGTTAGATGTTTAGAAGAAGAATGATACATAATGTAGAAAAGAAAGTGATGGTTTAGGTTGTGAAAGTGCAGGTGGGGCCTGATAGCAGGGAGAATTCCAGGAAGAAAAGCTGAGGAGATCGAAAGGTTTTGGATGATGACGCACGGACAAGTGTTTGCCAGCAAGAGAGGACAACTCAATAGACAACGAAGCTCTTAAGCAGTTCATGTTAAATGCTAATCATTCCCAAATTAAATGCCTTTCTTTTTCTTCATTATTCTTCATTCTTTCTCTCTGTGTCCTTCGTTTCTGTTATTCTATCTTTCTGCTTTTTTGACTCTACATTCTCATCTATGGCTCTGTACTTTGTGTTTCTTACTTACTTGTACCTCTCAACTTCTCATCTATTCATCTTCTCTTCTCTTCTTTTCTTTCTTTATTCTCTCTTCTCTGTTTTTTTTTTGGGGGGTCTGATCTATGAAGTTCCCATCGAATAATTAAATGCATAATGATGAGGTTATATATTTTAAATCTTCATTCAAGAAAGTGATAAAATAGTTACTGCTAGTGAATGACATAGACAAACTATATTTCTATTTTTTAAATTTGTATATTTTCCAGAATTAAGAGTAAATTATGCATGAACTATAGTGCTATAGCTGCCCACACGTTATTAGGTTTGAAATTTGATTAATATAAGAGATTTATTTTGCAAATACTACCTCTGAGCCTAAATATAAGAGCCAACTAATTTGAATAGGTTAAGGAAATAAGTTAAGTTAGTCATTTGTAATCAATAAATGTTATCTTTTGTAAAATATTCTTACTAATCAAATGTCTTAGCTAGAACTATCATTATTAAAAAGACTACAACAACAACAACAAGCCTTATCTCACTAGGTGGGGTCGGCTACATGAATCACACGACGTCACCGTGCTCTGTCAACAGCCCAGTCCTTAGATATGTTGTTGATTAGGAGGTTTTATTCAATGACCTCATTAAGCGTTTTTCTTGGTCTTCCTCTGTTCCTTTTTATAAGACTCCATCTTGTCTGATCTACCCTCCTCACCGGGGTCTCCAATGGCCTTCTCTGCACATGTCCAATGGCTATAGAACTCCGCCTATATTGTATAGCCGGTCTCAAGCCCGGATAAAGGAGGAGGGTTGTGTTAGGCTCTCGACAGCCAACGTAAAAACCCGTCGAATCTCATGAGCATTGTTAAAAAGACTATTTAAAAAAAATACATAAATATGAAAGACAAAGTAGATTGGAGTCTTATATTTAGAACTAAAATAAAAGTCAAATAAGGTTTTATATTAAAAACCGGAAGTAGTAATAATGAGATTATTAAGATTTTTTATTTGACATCAGCATACGAGGGAACCTCTTCACTTCCCCTATAAGAGATTAATCATTACAAACTAACGTCAGTTAAATTGTGATAAGAATTATCAGTCCAACTAGAAAAATTCATCTACTAATCTAATATTACTTCCAATCCTAATTATAAAATCTCCTTTGTAGTTTACAAACGAAGTCTTGTAAATAGGGCTGAAGGTAGTAATTGAATATTATAGTAGATTAGGTTGACTTTAATTTAATGATTATTGAAGGGAACACATTCACATTCCAAAAGGCATAAGCGTTCTCACATGCACACTAAGATAGGTATGTAATGAAAATTAGATTTTGGCCCTCCTCTATTATGTATGATCTGATAAATAAGTGTCACGGTTCATTAGTTGTGGATAATATAAGTTTATTTTAGGATTTATGATTAGATATGTTAATATTTTTTAAAATTAATTTAAACTCGTTTCACATGCATTATCAATTTTGTATAATGAGATTTTTTTTTCCCCCCAAATTCTGCTCGTTCCACACGCTACACACGCATTATTCATGAAGTTCCACTTTACACTTTTATTAACATTTTTATTTGTTTATTTGTTCACTACTAAAAGTTTGACTCGCCATTGGATTGTACTCGTACCATCTTAAATGTTTGTTTGGTATTTGTAAAACAGCATAATAAATAATGTTGGGAAAAAAAAACAACATAAAAAATACTAGATCAAGTCTTTAATATAAGAACTAGTTTGACTTTCAATTTGATTTTAAATATAAGATCCTAATCCATTTTGTCTCTCATATTTATTTATTTTTTCTAAAGTAGTCTCTATAGTAGTTGCATATGTTAAATGTTTCATCAAATAGTATGAACTAATACACTTGATTAGTTAGGGTGTTTTAAGAAAGACAACACCTATTTATTAAAAAAACCAACTTAACTAATTTTTTTAATCTATTTAAATTAGTCAACTAACTCTTATATTAAAAAGGCAACAAATGTTGGCACGGGAAGGCTGAAAATAAAATACAGAGGTGAGTTTGGGAGGAGAAGAAGACTATAACACACTTGGGCCCATGATTTCCAAGATCCTGATCACCTAATTGGGCCGTTCGTGAAAGATAATCAAGCCCATTAAGTGCTAAGTAGCCCAAACATTATCATATATAAATCGCACCATATAAGACTTTTTAGCTAAGTCATAGTAGTGCCCCCTTCAACAAAGGCACCAATATTATAATTGAAGTGCTTATAGACGGTTCCATGGCCAAGATTCACTTGCAAAAAATTTTAAAATTATGTTAACCAAATGGGGTTAACGATTGCTTATAATAAAATTATCTTTAAAAAAATAATTAAATCGACATAAAGTGAGGAAGAGATAAAAGAGACATAAGGTGGCCTAATTTACACAATAAAAAAGCCAGTTTGGATATTCCTTTTATAACAATATGACTGCAATCATATTCATACACGCTTACCAACTACAGTGCCATAATTTATTTTACAATCTTAAAAGCATCTTTTGCATGTAATAAGCTATTAATAAAAAAAACTAAAGTATACTTTTAATCCTTTAATTTTACGTAAAATTTCATGTTGATCCCTTAATTTTAAAAAGTATATTTTTAGTCCTTTAACTCCAAAATTATTAGTCTTAAATAATATTTTTTTGTAACAATCATGATTGTTTTGAATATTAAACTTAATATGTTAGTATTTAGTAATATTTTATCAGTGTTCAGGAGTTCAATATCATTATTTTTTTTGTTAATAGTTTTAGGGTTAGAGGACTAAAAATTTACTTTTTAAAAAGAATGGACCAAAATACAACTTTGTGTAAAGTTAAAGGATTAAAAGTATACTTTTGCCAAAAAAATTAAAAATAGTATAATTTTGTCAGATAAAAAATAAAAAATACAATGCTTAGATAGAAAAAAAAAATTTAATATGTTATAAAAATAAAACTATATGAGTCCCATGTATTATACTACCTCCAATCCCAATTATAAGAACTCTTTTATAATCTGCAAATAAAATCTTATAAATAAAACCGGAGGAAGTATGAAGTATACGAATGAGCTATATTACAAGTGCTGTAAAAATAGTATAATTTGATGGAGCTTCTAATATTCGATTCATAGTATAGAACATCTATATAGCAAATCATGGTATTTTAAAATTATAAAATAGTGAAAAAAAAGGGCCGCTGAATCGTTCATCACGACACTAACCGCGCATATCGACTTTGATAGCACCCCATTTTCTTTTTCAAATGACTTCTGTAACTTTTTGTCTGGACCATAATTAGTTTCATAAACCTTTTGTTTTTTTTTTTGGTTGGGATGATTGTGACTTTTAAAGCTTGAAGTGCACGTAATAAGAAAGAAATCGTAGGACCGGGGCGGTTATTGTAAACTTAAGATTAAAATGTTGTAGTATGATATGTTGAACGTGTAAATATGTGTTAATTTTCCTAACTATTATTTTGAATCATGTGTGTTGGATCATTAAAATTATTCTTGTTGGAAATCCTTTACGGTTAATGGAAATATTTTGAAAAAAGATAAGAGATAAAATAGAATTAGGGTTTATTTTAGTTTTCTTAACAAAAGTTGTTTTTTTTGAAGTTTGAGAATTTTAAAATATCTCTTTATGCTTCCTAAAATAATATGAAAAAAAACAAACGTTTTTTCATTATGTTGAGAAGCTATTCTAAGTAGTTTATGGTAAATATTTTAAGAAGCATTTTAAAGTCAAAATATATTTTTGAATTATTGCAATCTAACACAAGATAGAGAAACAAAAAGACTTATAAAAACTGCATTAACATTATAAACATGAGTATAAATAAAAAGACTTAAAATTAGCAAAAGAGATTAACATAATGTGATAAAAACCGCAACAAATAAAGCCTAGATAAACATGATTAAGTCACAACAAGTTTATGATTCATTCATTCAATGAAGGATTAAAAGAGATTACTTAGAAAAAGTTGTGAGATCCAAAGAAGAAAAGCAGAAGATACGGTACCTTCCACTTTAGATGGAAGTAAGACAAGACATGGTTCATCATCATCATATATTTATATATCTTGTGAGAATTATTAACCCATACTTTGAACCTTCTTTCTTCGGTCAGAAAATTTTGTTTTTTAACCAACAAAAGGAAACATTTTGTTTACTAAAAGATAGACACAAGAAGATAAACACATGATGACTTTTTTATACCATATATAATAGTCAATTACTCCTAATGAATTTAGACAGCTGCTTAGTGATCTCCAAAAATAAATTAAAGTAGTAGTCATGCTACCTATGCCAGCCTATGATTTTTTTTGGCATCTAGAAGTTTATTTGAAAATAAATTTGACTCAAAAATTTAAAATCGGTATAATATTACTTTTTCTTATTAAAAATATTAACGATTAATATTAGTTTTCGACGGTAGGATACAATATTGTTATGATTTTAAATTATTGAGGCAAATTTGCACCCCAAAAATATTTCTAGACGTCTAACATTTCTAAGTAAAAACTTTTGAGATAAAATTGCATATTTTTTTTTAATATTTTTTTAACAGATACATTACTTATTATAGTAAAAGTTTTGAATTTAAGAGGTCACATCTGGTCAGCTCAAAAAAAAAAAAAAGAGGTCACATCTGGGTTGTGGAATAAATAAAACCTAGATGATAAACATGGAGTCACAACAAGATGATTCATTCACTCATTCAAAAAATCACAAAAGAGAAGAAAAAGTAGCATTATAGTTATTGAAAGGTTCCATTTTCAATTTTGAAGGAGACTGTCAATTGATGAAAAGCACACAACACACACGCACATACGCAGAACAAAAGTTTGTGAGACCCAAACAAGAAAGAAGCAGACAAAACCTTCAACTTTGTAAACCCCACACCACTGAGTTATTAGATATATATATATATATATATATATATATATTAAATATTTTGACAGGAGAAGGTTCCGTGTGAGATGAGGATTTGAACCTTCTTTTCTTTACTTTTAAACGTTTTAATTTAATCCTAAGTGAGATCTCACAATTTAACTAATTA